CAACTGCAACATTCGTTACATTGTGTTTCCAACAACTGAAACATTCTTCAATAATGACGGCACACCTTCTTCCGCGCTCGTTCCACGGCTAAAATGAACGAGCACAGCTGTCAAGTCTGTAAATTAGGAAGCTCACAACTCCACCGAGGAAAGTCAAATGAAGAAGATAATGACCTTTTCAGTCACTTGTAAGCATAAGACTGATCTCTATTTTTAAAAAATGGCATAAAAATAACGACTTATAAAAGCTATGTCACGATGTTTATGGCATTACTTACTGTTAAACAACATAAAAAAACTTGGAAGAAAAGTAAGCCTTGAAATAATGGTTCAGTTTTATAAAAAATTACTCTACTACTTTGCCTCAACTAGAAGTGTATGTCTTTAACTTTCGAAGGCCATGATGGAAACAGATTGCAACTCGAAAAAAAATGGCCCTATGTTGTGGAAAAATTACCAAAAACTATGATTTCTTTCTTTTCCCTTTCGATAAAATCCTTTACATATCTTTCTTTTAGAGTTCCAAGTATGATAAAAGATGACTGAGACTGAGAATACTTAGTTAGCTTTAACTATATCAAATCTCAGCTCAGCTTTGACCAAAAAATGAGGAACCCATAATGACATATGAAGCCCATTGAAAATTAAGACGAAGGGAATTTTTTTACCAAACGCCACTGTAGCGTGCTTTCGTAACTGCTTTATAGCACAAAAAAACTGTTTTCTTAACGGTTTCAAGTCGTACGACCTATTGATGATCACATAAATGACATGTCTAAATCAAAACGAAGTGTTAAAGGTGTTTTAATTTACAGGTTAATTTGCATGTCATGAAAACATTTTTATCAGAAAATCAGAGATGGCCTTTTTCAAGATTTAGTTTTTTCAGGTTGGTGATGCTCTGGTGCTGACCAAAAGGATCGCAGGCAACGAGATAATTTTGACGCAATCTCGTACCCAGAGTCTTCTGGCCGAGTTTTTGTCAGTGGCGCTGACCAAAAAAACCAGAAGATTGATTTTGACACAATTTTTATTCCCAACATGCAAAGAAATAATTTTGTAAAGTTTGAAAATAGACTGCTTTCTATTATCGTTATCTCCATCTTTATTGACTATTCTTAAATTTTTTTTTAAAGTTTATTATCAGATATTTCGATGGCTAGAATTGCGGCTTTATTGTAAATAGCTATATTGTGGGGGTGTGTTCTGTTTTAATTTGTATTTGCGTTTTTTTGTCAGTAATTTTTAGTTACATTTATGAGTTACCCTCTCAAAATAAAAGTCTTTGCTACCTACT